CCTGATTTTTTTAATTTTTTTTTTTTTGGTACCAGGGATCGAACTTGGGACCTTGTGCTTGCGAAGCAGGCAGCGGCACCACTGAGCTAAATCCCCGGCCCCTTCTTTTAACTTTTTACTATGTCTACTAGGAAATTTTACACTTTCATTTGCATTGTCACTGCCTAGTGTATCACCATACAGACATAGCTTTGCTTCTTTAACTAGCTTTGGATATTTATTTCTATTCTTTTAATACTACCAGTAATCTTGGACAACTACATTTTACATTTATGCCAGCACTATTTATAATAACCCGAAACTAGTAACTAATAACAACAGAGTGACTTACCATATACCCACATAATAAAATATACATACAAATGAGAATAAAAGATCTATAAACACACAACTTAAATGATGAATCAAGTATAATGTTGAGTGGAATTCAATCACTAAAAAGTACATAATACATGGTTCTATTTATATACCAGGCAAAAAAAAGAGGGTAATCTATGTTCTCCCAAGTTAGAATGTTGGTGCTCTCATGGGGGAACAAGGTAATGACTCGGTAGATGTAGGAGTGGTGTTTCTGGGGTGCTAAGAACTCCCTGTGTATTAATCTAAGTGCTGACTGCCCAGGTGTAGTCAGTTTGTGAAAAGTCAACAAGATGTATGCTTATGTATACCGTTGTAATGTACACCATATTCAATAAAAATGTTTTAAAAGAATTTAGGTTGGGAGTACTAGTGATGATTTTAACAGAATAAACCATCAGATTTTTTAAAGCTAGTATCAGTACATGGGCCTGCTTTTTTATCATTCATTCACTTTTCAGTCACTGAGCTGAAAACACTGACAAGCTTATGTCTCAGAATTGATTTTGTTTACTGTCTAAATTCAGAAATATATGTGCAGATATTAAACCCACTTTGCAAACTAGTTTGAAATGAGATATTTGAAAATAAGAATATTAAAATATTTCCTCATAAGAACATACAGAGCTTCCTTGTGCATAAACAAGCCAATTTAAATATTTTTATTTTCTCCTGTTTTAAACAAAAAACATACCCTATTCTTTATCTTTTTTGCCCTACTGACCTTAAAGATCATTCCGTATCAGTAAAATGAAAATGTCCCCTTTTATAAAACAGTGTATTACATAGTTTTTCCTTGTACAACAATAGCTTATTTTACTACCCCTTGAACATACATGGTTTCTATTTTAATAAGCAATGCAGAAATAATGTTCATAAATATGACATTCCTAGCACATGCTACTATATCCTCAGACCAGATTCCCAAAAACAGAACAGCTACATTAAAGGATGTTTAAATCTGTATTCCCGTCCTTTACAGCTAAACTGCCCTAAGCAAGGGTTGCACCATTCTGTATCTCATGGCAACATGTAAGATCTCTTTCTACAACACATGCCAACAAATCACATTATCAAACTTCCAGACTTTTACCAATCTGAAAAATGTTATTTCATAGTAATTTGTGTTTTGATAGGGAATGGGGTTCTTAAAATATGTTTAAGAAATACCTGTCTGCAAAACTTATCTCACATCCCTTTCTTTCCCAGTTTTCCACTGGGTTTGTTTGCCTTTACCCTGAGCTACATCCACAGCCCTTAATTTTTTTTTTTTTTTTTGGTACAGGGGATGGAACTCGGGACCTTGCGCTTTTGAGTCAGGCGGTGGCACCACTAAGCTAAATCCCCTGCCCCACAGCCCTTAATTTTTTTGAGCCAGGGCCTCGCTAAGTCACTAAGTTACTGATGCTGGGCTCCAATGTGCAATTCTCCTGCCTCAACCTCTCACAGTGCTGGGATTACAGGCATGTACCACCACGCCCAACTTTCCCAATTTCTTTTTTTTGGTACCAGGGATCAAACTCAGGACCCTGCGCTTACAAAGCAGGCGGCGGAACCATTGAGCTAAATCCCAGGCCCTCTTCCCAATAATTTCTATGAGTGCTTTTTTTAAAAAGTAAATTAGCCTTTTGCCATCAGTAAGTTTCAAATATTGTTTGCCTGGTTTGTTGTATCTTGTCTCTGGTTATCATGTTGCAGAGTTGTTGTTTTAATTCATGGTGAAAAATCTGCTCAGAATTTTCCTATGTTTTGTGCTCGCTTTGGCAACACATATACTAAAATTAGAATTTTCATATGTTCTGTGACAATATTATTTTGCTCACTATTCTTCACCTACTAGGTTTTGTTAAACTGTTAATTTTTTTCACCTTTATAAGTGATTACTCAGCATGAAATAAGTTCTACATTACTGGCCCCACTTTCTCAGTAGGCTCCTTCAGAAAGGAATTTTGCTGACATTTTCTGAGCTGATCAACCTATCTTTTCCATATTCTATACTTCTTGTTTTATATAAGATGCCTACTTGCCACTTCAAAGTAAACTGCTTCTACTTGTTGGCCCTTCCTAAGTTCTGCAACGGAAAACTGTTTTCTTCTATGACTTCATTACATCTAGTTTCTGCTCCTTTTCACCCTTTTATTCCCAGATCCTGTAGCTGTTTATTACTTTGTAAAATACTCAGGTGAAAAGAAGGAAAACTAGCATCTCACACTAACAAGGGTAAGGGTACCCAAAAGTCTCTAAGTACAATTTGTACACAAAACAAACTTACTTTAAGAGTTCATCTCTTTCTGTCTTCCGTGCAAACACTATATCACTGCATTTGTTCTGGAACCTGACCAGGATTTCAGTCAGCTCATTATAGAACTGTAAGCAAAGAACAAATGCAAATAACAATTTTTTAACGTAGGGAGCAATACCATCTAAAGCTAATTTGTCTGTGATGATTAAAGCTGAAAAACAGACATCTTCTGCATGAAACTCACACTACAAAATAAATCCAACAACTTAGTATTAAATATCACCTAGGCTTCATAAAGAAAATAAATATATCATTTTTACAGAACCACCACCAAAAGTTAAATGATAAATTTCATGATCTTGAGCATGTTTCCAATTCCTACAGAGAAGTCAATTTACTATTAAATGTCACTAGATCAAAGATGAAGAATTATATTTGCACATTTATTACAAAAATACTGGCATCATTTCAGACAGACTTAAAAGAATTTTCAAAGGCTTTTTGGAATTTTCTTAGCCCATCTATTAGAACAAAGCATATAATCCAAACCTAAGTAGCATTTTACTACTCACTATCCTCTCTATTTGGAAGGCTTTGTAGTGTTTTTATCTTCTCTTCAGAAGGTTTTACATTATACCTACTATATGATATCACTTTACTCAGTGATCATTATGGAGTTAAGTGCCTAAAGGAATTGTGCATCTGAAAAGCTTAAAATTCACTTCCCTCAAAAGCCAATGGTAAAAACAAAAATAAGCATTTTTCTAAACATTTTAAAGGACAAGCCAAGAAAAGTACTTAAAATATATTTATTAGCACTCTGATACTCAAGCAGATCACAAGTCTATCTTCCCCAAACTACCAACACAGAACATAAAGACCACATCTTTCCTCTTCCTACCACAGATCAGCCTTTACTACTACTTTTCCCTCATCATTCACTCAAACTGGTCAACTTCCTAACCCTTAAAGAGGTGTCAATAGCTTTTGACATCTTTGTGCTGATACTCACTACCAGGAATACTTGTATCCCTTTTCTGCCAGGTAAAATATATAATTCACTACTGAAAGTTCCAAAGAAATGTTGCTATATTGATTTGGCTTACTCCCTCTACAACAAATCACACAGGCGAAAAAGGCATTATAGCTAACAAATTCAAGACAAAAAATAATTTGGTCTAACTGGAAATACCAATTAACTTCCCAAACTATATTTGTTTGAGCTTGTTTCTTTTGTTTATATGTCATACCTTTGTGCCCTCCTTCAAATTAGCTACAAGTTCAACAAAGTTGTCATATGCAGTAGCTAAATTCTTCAAAACTTCTTCTCTTAAGTTAGCCTCATTGTTAGATTGTTTCATTTTTGAAAATTCCTGGTGTGAGACCTTGTTAAAAGATAAATATATGTAATTTATATTCACTTATAAAATACAGCTTATAATATTTATATGATTAATATGTTTAATATACATGCAGAATTACTAGAAATACCTAATATCTCTTGAAGTTGTACAGTGCTTTATATCTTAAGTAAAAATATCACAAATCCAATAGTTATCAAAAAAACCAATAACTAGTTTTCTGTTAATACATAGCACAAAGAACGTACAATGAAAATTCTTTTACTCTTTAGCATATTTTATATCACACATAGCTACTGAATAGTAGAAAACACAATGCTTGATTTTACACATTAACTACTAAATGGGCAAATTGTCACATCTAGTTAGTAAACACTAATTTGTAATACAAACTTCAAACATCTAAACATACTTAGTTTTGTATATAACTTGATTAAAGACTGTTATGTACTAAGCCATATGATTTCAAGAATCAAAAGTTCCAACTAATTCTCACTGGTTCCTAAATACTGCCAAAAAATACACCTTTTAAAAATTTGTAAAAGCCCAAAATATTTGAAGCATTAAGCACTTTGAAGTAGCATGCAACATTTTAGTCACAGAAGAGTGGCTTTGTTTCATACATTTTTTTAAACCAATGTGTGCCAAATTAAATTTTGTAAAATAGAAATACATTATTATTCCACTGTAAACTATAGATACACTAATTTCATTTTACTAAATGGACATAAATTTCATGCAGGTTTATCCTTTTTGTAATTTTTAACATATCATATTAAATATATAAGTTTTACCTGAATATTTTTTAGAAGTCCCTCCTGTTTCTTTAGAGATTCTTGGACTTTAGTTGTAAGACCTCCATAGATTCGATCCAGTTCAGTGACAGAAAGAGCTTCTTCATTAATCACACCATCCTGAGCCAAAGCTGTCAAAAACTTGCTTGTCATATCAAAATTCACTGACTTAAGGTCATTCTCGAGATTCTCTCTTTCCTTCTTTACTTCATCAAGATTTGTCAACAAGGATTTTAAGACATTTACAACCTAAATAATAAAAAAAAAAATTAATTGACCAAAACAAGTTAATTTCAAAAAGAAAATGATATATGAAACTTAATTCAAGGTCAGGGATGATTCCTCAGAGAGCCATGCATAAAACTACAGAACAGGTTTACTTATAAATATTATACCTTTAGTTGACTCAGATTATTACAGCAACATTAATAACACTATAAACAGCTAAAATTTACTGAATACTATGTACTAAGCATTGTGCTGAAGAGTTTACAAATATAAAGTATTCCTTACAATATCCTACAAGGTATATTTATTACTCTATTTTATAGATGGAAATACTGAGTCTAAGAAAAATTAAGTAATATCTACTAATGGATAGAGGGGAAATTTGATACCTAAGTATGCCTAAACCAATCTCTTAATCACTCTACATTATTCTGGCACCTTTCAATGGCACTGAGGTGGATAAAGTTATCATTTTGGCAAGTAAAACGATATCCTATTTTGCATACAGTTAAGAGAGATTTCTAGAGAGAAACATGAAGACACAAATAGATTTGGAAAGAGCATGCTAGATGGGGAAATTGGAGTAGGGAACAAGAAAGGGCTACTATATACAATGTATTTATATGCTGAAAGATGGAAAGATGGTTATTTTACCTATCTTCATATCATTAAGTCTTGCCTCTTGTATACAAGTAATCCCTGACTTACATTCATATGACTGATAAATACTCCTTAGTGTTCAAGTGTCTTCTAATGCCATTTTCAAGCTGCCCCTGTCACTCTTCCCATCTTGCTTGGGATAAGAAAGGAAAATACCAACCCAAGCCCCCAATCTGCTTGCCCCAATGATGCTCACAGAAAGAAAGCTAGGGAACAAAGGAAGATGCAATGAAGCCCACCCACATTTCTTCTCACCAGCAGCAATTCCAACTCTAGTGGATCTTCCCACCAACCACCCTCTTTCTGAGAATTGCTGTCCTACTCTTCTTTCCATAGTCCTACTTAATTAACTCTTTGACAGCAATGTCCAGAATAACACAGCTTCACTAAGAACAGAGACCTGAGAAAAAACTAAGGTTGTTTCTTCCAAATTTAGGTGAATTTCATTTTGGGCCTCTCTTTATACTCAGATCTCTTAAGTGTCCTAATCTCAGTAAAATTCAATTCCCAGTTGGAGAGGGAAGAGGAGGAGACGAAAAAAGGTACAAAAAGCAGACATACATAATAAACTACATTTTGAGTGAGAGAGAAGGGAAATACATAAAGTATATACTGTACATATGCATGCATAAACATTTTTTGCAAAAAGAAAAGCAGTAAGGAGAAACCAGATACTAACAAGTGAGTACACCTCTGGTGACTATATGGGAACCAAGTAGAAGAAAAAGAAATGAGACTCCTCTGCATACACTTTTTGAATCATGAACATTTTTTAGATATTCAAAACAAAGTAAGATCAAAATTTGAATACAGAAACATAGCATTTGTCTTTTTTTTTTTTGGTACCAGGGATTGAACTCAGGACCTTCCACTTGCAAGGCAGGTGTGGTGCCACTGAGCTATATCCCCTACCCCATGAATACAAAAACAAATGAGCCCACCTATTAAACTGAAACATAATTACATAGGAAAAAGAATTCACCTCTGACTATGCTTAATAGGGAGAATGGACTTAGTTACTACTTAACCAAAGACAGGTTTCTTCCTGAAAAACTCAATTTTCTCACTTGCAAAATGAGAATACCCATTTCAGGGCTACTTGAAGACTGAGATAATCCATAAAAAGTCCTGAGCAGTGCTAAACCAGAGCAAGTGTTCAGTCATATTTGCCATTATTATGTGGTAGATGAGTTTTACTGAACTCTCTATGTATACCTCTATTTTGGGTATATTATGGATTAAAGAGGCTTAGACATCTAAAGCATTCAGATAGGGAAAAAAGTACAATAAGCAAATTAAGAATTATAAAAATCCTTTATTTTACTCAATTATTGCTGTAATTATGTGATATGTTTTTATTAGGCAATAGGATAAATTTTAAATGTTGTAATAGTATTATCTGTTGGCATATCTAAACTGGTAATCGACTAATAACTCAACCATAACTTTTACTTAAGACCTATGTGAAGGCTGTTTGGCTAAGGGAAAAATAAAAAATGTTAAAAAAGGAAAGAAGAAGGGAAAGGAGAGAAGAAGGAAAGTAATATCATATCTCTCCATAAGTTCTGTCTAACAAAAGTTAAAAAGAAAAACATGTTAGCTAATTAAAATAACGAGGAGAAAAAGAAATATGCAGATGGTTAATAGTCTAGACAACAAAGCTAAGACTGAAATACTACTATCCTGAAAGAGACTAACTAAATAACTCTTACGTAGTTTAGAAACTTAGATCCTCTCACCAAATAATGGGCCAAAGTTGTAATGATAATGACCCAAAGTTACTTAGTAAGTGATATGAGAAGATAGAATGGTTCACATAGGCACTACTTCCATAGAAATGCAGGAAGAGAACCCCTAAGGATTTTAAGAATCTTGAGTTCCAACACTAGCTCTACTTACAAAGAAAAGCTAACTGGACTTTCACGGTACAAAGATTTCTAATCAGAGTAATAAGGGAGAACCAAACTGTTATTTAGCAAACCAGGTGCTATTTCAAAATGTTGTGATTCTAAGTCTGAAAAACAGTGCCGTGACAAACGACTAATTTATGAATGAACTTCTGGACTGTCACAAAAAGGTAAGATTCCTCGTATTGCAAGATTCTCTTTTTTATAGTTAAACTGTTTATAATTACAGTTTAACTATTATTCAGATTGCATGATAATGGACTAATTTTAACAGAGTGAATGATGTAGAAAATAGATTACGCTGCTCCCACTCCCACAAATAAAGAACAGGGTAATGAGAAAAACATTACCTAAATTTTCTTACCAATTCAAGTTAGAGGCTTAACATGTTGTCAAAGCTAGAAACCTGTAGTGTTTCTATGTTTTCTAAATAACTCCAATTAGCTTTCAACTACAATTAACTGCATCACTTTATTGAGTTTGGCTGTCAGTAGTTATCATTCAATTAACATGTACTTTTTGAGTCATATATGTTAAGTACTTTTCAAGATGTTACAAAGACAACTATTAACAAAAATAGAGTCTGTCCCTTAAACTATTAAACTGTGCCTTAGTAGTAAATAGCCAAAGACAGTATGTAAATTAAGAAGCATGGATAAGTTCCAATGAAAATTTATTTATGAACACTGAAATCTAAATTTCATATAATGTCCATTCATTATGAAACATTTTTCCTTTGACTTTCCAACCATTTAAAAATGTAAAAGTGCTGGGGATTTAGCTCAGTGGTACCGCACCTGCCCTGCAAGCACAAGGTCCTGAGTTCAATCCTTAGTGCCACAACAACAAAAAAATAATAAAATAAAATAAAAAATAAAAATGTAAAAGCTATTCTTACCTCATTAGCTATACAAAAGCAAAAGGTGGCTTGGATCTGTCCCATAGCCTACAATTCACTGACCCTAGTATTAAGATTAGAAAGTTCTGAGAGGCTTTTAAGAGCACCAAATGCAATTAGGTACAATAAAAACTGCTCTCAAGGAAATTTTCAATTTTACTTTTCTGATCTGCCATTTTATTTTCAGAAAAGACAAACACGATATCTCTACAACAACAGAAAATCAAGAACCTGATGCATTTACCTTTAACTAAAGTTAACCTAGAGAGGTTCTTCATCCCACTAGTTAGGGACCACTGTACTTTAGCACTGCTGCTGGCATATATTAGGCCTTAAACAAATGTTTGGTTAAGAAATTAACAGATTCCAGCCCTTCTCACCACTTGTCTACGAGATTGCAGTTATAAAAACCCAAGACTAAAAGCTGTGTCTGCAGATCCTCTACGAGCATATAAGATGCCTCTGTGCAAGTAAGAGAAAGATGCTCTTTATTCACTGCCTCTCAGGAGGGAAAGGTTCTTTCCAAAGGCATCCCTTCATTGCCCCAGGTAGAGGCAACACTGTGTGTATAAATGGGCAATATCTTTATGCAGAAAAATAAAAGATCCCCCTTCTTCTGGTGGGACTTAGCTGTATAGTAAGGCCAAGGCCGGGGAGGACAACTAAAGAAGGTTTCAGACTTCAGTAGGTCAGAGGTGCATAATCACAAGCAGGAGTACAAAGTATTTAATATACAATTTACCAATACTCTACAAATATTTCAGAGTATCTCAGGATCTAAAATTAGATGCCCAAAGAAACTGAAAATAGACAATATGCTTCTTCACAATAAAAAAATTATCAGCTTAGATTTCTTCATAAAATGTGTGCTGTCTTACTTTATTAATAATCAAGTCAAATGACTGAATTTTATCATAAACATTCAGCTACTATGACAACAGTGCAGTAGCTTTTATAAATATGCAGTGTTTGTCTATACTGATAAAGGGTTATGATGCATGAACATAAAAGAGAACACTGAAATTTTTCTTGTTACCTCTGTTAGGAAAATCTAGCATCAAAAAAACAACTTCATATTGAGTATAAAAGTTTTTCTTGCCATATAATACCACTGAGGATTAACAAAAGCATCTATCATTATAACTGAATAAAGTATCAACAAATCAGTGCACACTAATTCTGATTTTGCTTAGCATGAACATTTTTGCTTTTCTACTGAATGCAAGAAGGTCAAAAGACAAAGGCCATTTTATTGGGCAGCTTTCCCTCTCCAGGACACAACACCCGATACTCAATACCCAAACTTAAAGGAGGAAAGGTTTAATTTAATTTGGCTCATGTTTTAAGGGTATTCAGTCCACGGTAAGCTGGTCCCAAGGCAGGATCATGACAGAAGGGAAAGGCAGAGAAAAACTGTTTAGGTCATGGAAGACAGAAAATAAGAGAAGGGGAACTGCACCATTCAGGAAGGGGAAAGGGACCAAACATAGACCTTCACTCAGGCCATGCCTCCAAATCCACCTGGACACATCGAGAAATGTGCTCTACCAATTCCCAGGGCAGATCCCAAAGCCAACCACCCTAATCATCAGAGCAATATAAATTCTGAGTCATACAAGACACCAAAAAGAATAGGGAAGGAATACTACATGGAGATCTTTTTCTGCAATAAAAATGGTACCAGAAATGGTTCCCTGGGTCTGTAATTTCTTTTATTGTATATTTGTTCTTCACAAATTAATCTGACCAACTCCCTTTTCTCGTGACTGTAATCCAAGCATCTAATTGATATTCTTTTGTCTATTAGGTTCCTGGATTAGATTCAGGTTTCTTACTGTACTGTGTCCTACTATACCTAGTAGCTTCTCAGGATGCAACTCAGCTCTTCATGGATCCTACATATGTTCACTTTTTTCTCTACCTCCATTCTATTTTCATAATGTGCTAACTTGAGAAGTCTGCTAAGAGAAATGCTTCAAACTGCTGAAAGTAAAGTTTTTGAATCTTATAGTGTACGTTCTACACTTTCCCTGTTGAATCTTTAAACTCCTACCCCTTACTGTAGTTATTTTTGAACATGAGTAATCTTCCTCGATGGACCATAAGTTGAGGGAAAATACTGTATGATTCATTTGTTAATTTTTCAAAATATCTAGTCCAATGCCTTACACAGGAAGTCCTGCTTGAATATACATATGAAATTATTCTACAGAAAAAACAAATAAGCAATATTGATAACTTTCAAAACCTATTATCCCAGGAAATTCATCTTTTTCAAGAACTCTTCAGCAGTATTTCTTGCATTCTGGCTTATTTTCCTGTGCTCTCTGGAGCCTCTTATTCCCTACCTTACAGTTACCAGCCATTAAATTATATTTGCACGGGTTTTTTGGTACTGGAGATCGAACTCAGGACCTTGTGCTTGTGAGGCAGGCAGCGGCCCCACTTAGCTAAATCCCCAGCCCTATATTTGCACTTTCTCCTCTCCTTAGGACTTTCAAATCATATACTTTGCTAGTGATTTTTCTCTTTCTTGTTATCATGAGAAATACCATGATGACACTGTCCATTCATTAACAGGCATACCTTGTCAATATTCTCTTAAATATAGTCCCAGTAGAATATAGTGGAAGGCAGTACATACAGAATTGTAAGAAACAAAGAATTTGTGTTCCAAAGACTATCTAAACAAATATAGTCCTCTTTAGTTCAGAAAAGTTTCTTTACTTCCAAGCCTCTCCTTGATATAAAACCTTAGTAAAATATTGTAAATATATGATATACCTAGAATGTAGCATCTAGCTCATAAGACATTCATAAATAAAAAATATTACTTAAGGATATTAATAAAAGTATAATTACCTATTACCCAGAGTATATAGTGCTACTTTAAATATAATAGCTCAGGGGCCGGGGATTTAGCTCAGTGATTCTGCCGCCTGCCCCACAAGTGGAAGGACTTGAGTTCGATCCCCGGTAACAAAAAATTAAAAAAAAACTGCTCAAATTTACTTCTGTATATATTTACACACATACACATATGTGGGTGTGGATGTGTATATGTGTGAGGCTAGGCATCAAACCCAGAGCCTTGTGCATGCTACACAAGTATTATATCAACTATACTCCCTGCCAACTTCTGTAATTTTTAAAGATGACAATAAAACATTGACAGTTCATTATACATAATGATTTGAACATAGTTTTCATAAGCAAATGACCAACCACATCCAAAGCCACCCACTAACCTCGCTGCCCTGCATGGTCTTTGCTGGGTTAGCAGAGGGGATGGCAGCATTCAGCTCAGGCTCCGGCTTACAGAGAAGTGCAATGGTGTCACGATGAGACTGGTAACGTTCTTTTACTAGTCCATCTGCTTGCACAGCTTTATCTAAAACTGTTCTGAAGTTGGTTCCCTCTGTGGGGGAAAAAGTTTAAGAGTACAGCAGTGATTCTACCAGCAATGTTTATGGGTTGTTTGTACTTTTTGAGTTCTGGTCCTCAATTTCACTTATCTGTCCCTTCTATAAGCCTCAATTCACTAGATAATGACGACTCGGCTCCTGTCAATCTTTGTATTTTGTTTCTGGAAAAATGACAAAATTACTTATAAAATCAAGCGTATAGTTATACCTTAAAATACATTTCATGATCAGTGCCTGCCAAATGAAAGCAAACTGCCATCAGTCTAATCTATTCCTGTGACTCATATATATAGAAAGAAACCATTCATTCCAAAAACTAATACACCTTATTTAAAAAGTATTCTTCTCAGAAAAAGATCATATTAGAAGAAGAGGAAACATATCTTACGAAAAATCTAAACAGGGGTCGAGGATTTAGCTCAGAGGTTCCACCGCCTGCCTCGCAGGCACAAGGACCAGAGTTCAATCCCCAGTACAAAAAAAAAAAAA